TGTAGTTTTTGAATTATTTAATTAAATATGTTATGATGATGGTTCATCTGGTGTTTAAAAAGTGTTATATATCCACGATGAATGCAATGAATTTTTGATAGAAGAATTTGTGACGTCCCGATTCGTTTGCATGATTGAATTTTATAACTCTGATTTAATTTGCATAATTTGCTTGGGGTAGAATTGGGGTGTTACAGGAGTCAACATTATAAACCAAGTAAAAGCATTTTTTGTCAATCAATTAGGAAAACATCTTAATTTTAAGCCCTCGTCATTGGAGATATCGCCAGCTTCTATTTCGTACCTAGCAATGTGTTCAATGGTCGACTCATTGGCCTCACCAGTAAACTTGGTAAACTTAGGTACCTTACATCCCCTAGGTAATTCTTCCTGTCTAATGTAATCAGACAAGGGAAAAGATTAATTGGGCCTCTAGAGACCAACATTTACTCTGGATCATGTTAATACTTCTTCTACCATATTTACTATGTTGTTACGTCCAATAGTGGCATTTCTTAACACTCGATCAACATCTTGGTTTCTCCTAACTACAACTGGCATATGCTCATATTGTTCAATGAATTCTTTCTCTTCATAAGTGGGTGCTTCCACTCTTCAATGTCTAAAAGGATGCTCATTGTTGTCCCCTTTAGCTCTTCAAAAACCCTCAACGGCCAGTGGCACGTTTGAGTTTGAGTTGGTTGTAACCCTAATGAGTCGATCAATCTACCTATTTGGTCCAATACATGATTAAGGGCGACTCCCATTTGTTGAGTTAAAATGTTTACTAACTCTTAATTACTCTCATCCATCTATTGCCTTAAAGCCATAACAGATGTAGTATTCAAAGATGGTGTCGACTGCGGGACATAACTAACACCACCTAGTCGACCACTTGGGGCATAACTGCCTTGATTTCTAGTGGCCACTGTGTTTTCTATATATATGGCAAGGTTCGACTGTAACCTAACCATCATGGAATAAGGGATACCATATTGGTGAGGGACAAATGATGACCCTGGACCCCCTAGAAAGAGTGATCTATTTGGGTCAAATGGAGATACTCCATGCCTAGGTTCTGTCATTGTGATTGTTTCCACTCAACCATGAATTATGGTCGTTCTTACGGGAGATAAAACTATCGCGCTTTGAGTTGTGGTACTTACTGATATGACATCCACATTTTGTGTATAAATCTGCGTATGTGCAATATTTGTGTTAGAGCATGGGATTTTAGACTTAACCAAAATTTTACCACTTCTCAAATTCATACACACACTAACTATAGGAAACTCTGAAACTACACACAAATTCCAAAAATATTAGCACTATCTCACTAGGCGTGCCAATTTGTTTACTTATGGATTTGGTAAACAACGTTGGTCTCTTTAAAACAAGTTTATCGGCGAGATCGACCAGGGAATCTCAGTACAGTGCTTACATTTGTGATTCGTATGTGTAGTTAAAGTGTTTTCAAAAAGGCGTGTTCGACTGAGAGTCAAACGACATGATAAAAAACAAAGTAAATAAGATAAAAAGAGTTTTAAATTTCAAAAAGTAATGACATAACATTAAAGAAAATTTGAAAATAGGTTGGTTCAAACATACATTGTCTTTGCCTGACTTATTTCGCTCGTTCGCTTGGTTACTCTGAGTGACTAGTGCACAAGAATATAAACGAGCATAACCTAAAAAAACAACACTCACTCAATCACGAAAAAACATCTACATCAAATAAAAAGAAAAGCTAATGAATAAAAAAGGGGGAAAATCAATGAAATCGTAAGAAAAAAACCTGGGCGGTGGAAGAGAGTAACTCAAAGTTCTGATCATTATTTTTGTATAATTCGTAATCAAAATCTTCTAGATCAGACTAATGATAATCATCACCGCTGCTGCCGTAATCCTTCATTTGAATCGTCGTAAACGATTGGAAACAAATGGTATAGTAATTGAGAGAAATATAGAATAAGTTAGAGAAAATTAGGGTTTTCGAGATTTGATCAATTAAGTGATCGTAAAGAACAAAAAATCGGACGAGAAAAAGGAAGGTTTTACTCTTAACATGGATGACTTAGAACCACGCATAGCCATGAGAGTTGCCATCACAAATGTTTCATGGAAGATGCTGATAAAAAATAAGAAGAAAGATGAATGACACAAAACTGTAACTGATATGGAGCGTGAAATCCTATAACTGATATGAGTAAGAAACAAAACTGTGAAACTGTCACGAAAGAAAGAAATATATGCAGAAGGAAATAATTATTTGAGATATTTTGGAAAAGAATTTAGCCTCTTTTTCAGCCCATCCACATGGAAAAAAGAATTGTAAATATAAGGGTTGAGTTATAATAGATTTGTTCATCCCACAGGAAGCCACGTGTCGGCTTTGGAAGAATTGGAAGAAAAAAGAGTTGATTTTCTTATATTGTAGATATTGAATAATAATCAGAATAAGTTTAATATTGAATTAAATATTTTTATAAATAATTTCAAAACAAAATTATTTATATATAGGAATAATTATAGTGTTAATTCAAATATTTTTATATATGGAATAATATATTTGATTTGTAAATTGATTTGAATCAATTATATTACATAGTTATTACTAATTGAATTATATAATTTGATTGAATATTTGTATATTATAATTTGTCAATTTAGGATTTTTATTATTATAAAATATTTTTATCATCATCAAATATTTTTAAACTATTTTATTTTTATAAACGGGACTAACTTTACTATTAATTCATATATTTTTATAAATAATCTCAAAACAAAAATAATATTTATTATTTTTATAGAAGGGAAAAATATATTGTTCATTCAAATCCTAATTTATTATTTTTTCAAAACACGGATACTGATATGGTACACACATATGGTACTGATATGAAGTTATTGATACAAAATTGAATATTAGCGAGAACATAAAGTTACTGATCAAAATATTAAATATTAACGAGATATGTAGTTATTGATTAAACTATTGAATATTAACGGAAACATGAAGTTACTAATCAAACTATTGAATATTAACGGAAACATGAAATTACTAATCAAAATATTGAATATTAACGGGAATATTAAATTATTGATCAAAATATTGAATATTAACGACAATATGAAGTTATTGATAAAAATATTGAATAATAACATAAACATGAATTTATTAATTCAAATATTGAATATTAACGAGAATATGGCGTTATTAATCAAATTATTGAATATTAACGGGAACACGAAGATACTAATTAAAATATTGAATATTAACGGAAACATGAAATTACTGATCCAAATATTGAATATTAAGGAAAACACAAAGTTACTAATAAAAATATTTAATATTAACGGGGACATAAAGTTATCGATCAAAATATTGAATATTAACGAGAATATTAAATTACTTATCAAAATATTAATATTAATAAGAACATGAAGTTACATATCAAATATTAAATATTACGAGAACATAAAGTTACTGATCAAAATATTGAATATTAACGGAAAGATAAAATTATTTAATTAAAATATTGAATATTAACAGAAACATGAAGTTATGATCAAACTATTGAATAGTAACGGTCACATAAAGTTACTGATCAAAATATTGAATAATAATAGAACTTTACTATTAGTTTAAATATTTTCGACAATAATTTCAAAACAAAAATAATATATATATATATATATATATATATATATATATATATATATATATATATATATATATATATATATATATATATATATATATATATATATATATATATATATATATATATATATATATATATATATATATATATATATATATATATTAGTTAAACTAATTTTATATATTCAAAAAATTATAGACATTAATTTATTATGTTTTTTCAAAAAATATTTATTTATATTATATTATAGAAATAAATGTGCGTATCATATTAGTACTTGTACGAACGCACATGTATCCTATTGATTTCACACTACTTAAAAAAGACATTTGAGAAAAGGTTTTTACATCGGGTATCAAAATATATGATGTAAAAAATACAATTAACAAACTTTTTACATCAAGTATTTATTTGCAATGATATAAAAAATATGAAAAAAAATATATTTCGCTACCTATTACATCGGGCAAACGCATCCACCGATGTAAAAAGTTTTCAGAAAAAAATACGGTGGCATTTTTGTAAATAAGAAACAAGATAGTAGAAATATTAATAAAAAACATGCAACATATTACATCGGTTGACTAAAAACCGATGTAATATCTTCACAACAGATATTAATATAAAAAATAAATTAAAGAATAAATTAATTTTTTCGCAACTTATTACATCGGTGGAAGTTTAAACCGATGTAAAAAAGTCAGAAAAAAAGCTTGCATCGGGTATTACGATGCACCGATGTAATAGGTGCAAAACCCTTACATCGGTTGTAAGGACCCACCGATGTAATAGGTTGTCCACTAAGCCAACCCTTACATCGGTTATGCATTTCCACCGAGGTAATAGCTTCCAAACCCTTATTTCCCAAATTTCATTATTTCCACTGTATAATATACCTTGGCCACCGTTTCCACTGTACGCTCACGCTCACGACCCAACCACCGCTCTTTCACTCCTTTCCACTGTACGCTCACGCTCACGACCCAACCACCGCCGTTTCCCAGCCACCATCATCGACCGCCGTTTCCGAAGGTTTTCGACTGCCGTTTCGACCGCCGTTTCCGAAGGTTTTCGACCGCCGTCTCGACCGTCGTTTCTGAAGGTTTTCGACCGCCGTTTCGACCGCCATTTCCGAAGGTACTTCGACCGCCGTTTCCGGTCTTCCTCTTCGACCGCCGTTTCCGGTCGTCCTCTTCGACCGCGGTGGTTTCCATTCGTGTTTCCGCCGTTTCTGGTCGTCGTCTTCGACCGCGGTGGTTCTGTTCGTTCGTGTTTCATCGTTTTCGACCGCCATTGATGATGATTTTTGTTGTGAATTTGCAGATTTGTTTGATGAACATAGATGATGCGGTTTGTTGAAATTTGATTACGTCTCCTTGCCGCCGTTTCACACTTGATGAGACACACTTGATGACTAGGTTAGAGAAGACACTAATCTTTTCATCATTGACGAAGTTGGTAAGATGGAGTTATACAGTTCGTCATTCTTCCATGCAGTTCTAAAAGTTTTGGAGTCAAATATCCCAATTTTGGCTTCCATTCTAGTTCCAAAATTTGGCCGAGATATACCTGCAGGTAAATATGTTTCTTTTTTGGCAGGGGCAATTTTTCTTTTCTCGACGCTTTAAATAATTGAGATGAGACAAATCTGTCGCGAGCCTTGATAACCATATATCTCAAAGATTTGCTGATGTTTTGAAGAATTTAACGGATTTGCCGAACCTGTTAATGACTTATGTTGTGCATTTTCGCAGTTGCAACATTGAGGAATCATGCAGGAGCAACTTTGTTTACATTGAGTGTTAGTAACAGAGACGCTGTTCGAGAACAGATACACTCACTTCTGGAAGATCTGTTGATAAAACACTAGTTGTTGCAAAGTTTGTCTTCTGAACTCATGCTATGTGGAATTTTCTGTAAGTTCTAAATGCTTTGTAATAGGGATTGCCATCTGTCCCAACCACGGGCTAATATTACTCCAATTAGTGAAATAAAAGGAGAAAATCTCAACGCAATTTGGATGTTGCATTTTAACTTTGTCCCATTTTTAACAGTTGACATTTTAATTTGCGATTGTGCATGTATGTAAATATTCCAAGGTGGAAATAATTCTACCAAAATAATTATCTCCAAAGAGACAGAAGGCGTAGAGAAAATATAAACAAAAGGTTATGATATTTTGATTTACAAATTCCATAGGAAATGACTTGTTTACGCTTGAATTAGTGGCGGGTCTCTATCAATATAATGTATAGCATAAAGTTGGAGCACTTGTTGTTTCATTTGTGTACTGCTGGGAGCATTAAGTGCGACGGTCAAGCTTCTTTTACTCTGCAACCCCCATTTGTTGATGCCTCTATTTGGAAAAATTTTGAGATGGGAGTTCTGCTCCAATGGTACCACATGCATTTGCGTAGTATTGAGTCGCATTATATGATTGAATAAAGAAGTGTATTTTGATGTTGATGAATGTGTATATACGTTGTAATTATTATTGATTATGAGATGAGAAGTGGTGATGTTATTGAGCTAATTTAATATATTAATTATCATGCGCTTTATTATATTGTTAGATATCTCACCCCTTATGTTTGAATGATGCCCTTATGTTGGTAACGTGCAGGTAATCGAGAGTGAAGGTTGTATTCCTTCAATAGTTCGAGTCGGTGTCATTGCTCTGATATGTAACACTCGGGGGGATGAACGCTTGCTGTTTTTGATTGTTGATTTTCAGTTGTGGAACCTTAAGTTGATATTTATTAAATATGTGTTGTTTTGAAGTTACTGTATTGTTGTTAGAGATGTTATTAAGAATTCCGTTGCGTAGTTTTTGAATTATTTAATTAAATATGTTATGATGATGGTTCATCTGGTGTTTTAAAAGTGTTATATATCCACGATGAATGCAATGAATTTTTGATAGAAGAATTTGTGACGTCCCGATTCATTTGCATGATTGAATTTTATAACTCTGATTTAATTTGCATAATTTGCTTGGGGTAGAATTGGGGTGTTACAGGAGTCAACATTATAAACCAAGTAAAAGCATTTTTTGTCAATCAATTAGGAAAACATCTTAATTTTAAGCCCTCGTCATTGGAGATATCGCCAGCTTCTATTTCGTACCTAGCAATGTGTTCAATGGTCGACTCATTGGCCTCACCAGTAAACTTGGTAAACTTAGGTACCTTACATCCCCTAGGTAATTCTTCCTGTCTAATGTAATCAGACAAGGGAAAAGATTAATTGGGCCTCTAGAGACCAACATTTACTCTGGATCATGTTAATACTTTTTCTACCATATTTACTATGTTGTTACGTCCAACAGTGGCATTTCTTAACACTCGATCAACATCTTGGTTTCTCCTAACTACAACTGGCCTATGCTCATATTGTTCAATGAATTATTTCTCTTCATAAGTGGTGCTTCCACTCTTCAATGTCTAAAAGGACACTCATTGTTGTCCCCTTTAGCTCTTCAAAAACCCTCAACGGCCAGTGGCACGTTTGAGTTTGAGTTGGTTGGAACCCTAATGAGTCGATCAATCTACCTATTTGGTCCAATACATGATTAAGGGCGACTCCCATTTGTTGAGTTAAAATGTTTACTAACTCTTAATTACTCTCATCCATCTATTGCCTTAAAGCCATAACAGATGTAGTATTCAAAGATGGTGTCGATTGCGGGACATAACTAACACCACCTAGTCGACCACTTGGGGCATAACTGCCTTGATTTCTAGTGGCCACTGTGTTTTCTGTATATATGGCAAGGTTCGACTGTAACCTAACCATCATGGAATAAGGGATACCATATTGGTGAGGGACAAATGATGACCCTGGACCCCCTAGAAAGAGTGATCTATTTGGGTCAAATGGAGATACTCCATGCCTAGGTTCTGTCATTGTGATTGTTTCCACTCAACCATGAATTGCAGTCGTTCTTACGGGAGATAAAACTATCGCGTTTTGAGTTGTGGTACTTACTGATATGACATCCACAATTTGTGTATAAATCTGCGTATGTGCAATGTTTGTGTTAGAGCATGGGATTTTAGACTTAACCAAAATTTTACCACTTCTCAAATTCATACACACACTAACTATAGGAAACTCTGAAACTACACACAAATTCCAAAAATATTAGCACTATCTCACTAGGCGTGCCAATTTGTTTACTTATGGATTTGGTAAACAACGTTGGTCTCTTTAAAACAAGTTTATCGGCGAGATCGACCAGAGAATCTCAGTACAGTGCTTACATTTGTGATTCGTATGTGTAGTTAAAGTGTTTTCAAAAAGGTGCGTTCGACTGAGAGTCAAACGACATGATAAAAAACAAAGTAAATAAGATAAAAAGAGTTTTAAATTTCAAAAAGTAATGACATAACATTAAAGAAAATTTGAAAATAGGTTGGTTCAAACATACATTGCCTTTGCCTGACTTATTTCGCTCGTTCGCTTGGTTACTCTGAGTGACTAGTGCACAAGAATATAAACGGGCATAACCTAAAAAAACAACACTCACTCAATCACGAAAAAACATCTACATCAAATAAAAAGAAAAGCTAATGAATAAAAAAGGGGGAAAACCAATGAAATCGAAAGAAAAAAACCTAGGCGGTGGAAGAGAGTAACTCAAAGTTCTGATCATTATTTTTGTATAATTCGTAATCAAAATCTTCTAGATCAGACTAATGATAATCATCACCGCTGCTGCCGTAATCCTTCATTTGAATCGTGGTAAACGATTGGAAACAAATGGTATAGTAATTGAGAGAAATATAGAATAAGTTAGAGAAAATTAGGGTTTTCGAGATTTGATCAATTAAGTGATCGTAAAGAACAAAAAATCGGACGAGAAAAAGGAAGGTTTTACTCTTAACATGGATGACTTAGAACCACGCATAGCCATGCGAGTTGCCATCACAAATGTTTCATGGAAGATGCTGATGAAAAATAAGAAGAAAGATGAATGACACAAAACTGTAACTGATATGGAGCGTGAAATCCTATAACTGATATGAGTAAGAAACAAAACCGTGAAACTGTCACGAAAGAAAGAAATAAATGCAGAAGGAAATAATTATTTGAGATATTTTGGAAAAGAATTTAGCCTCTTTTTCAGCCCATCCACGTGGCAAAAAGAATTGTAAATATAAGGGTTGAGTTATAATAGATTTGTTCATCCCACAGGAAGCCACGTGTCGGCATTGGAAGAATTGGAAGAAAAAAGAGTTGATTTTCTTATATTGTAGATATTGAATAATAATCAGAATAAGTTTACTATTGAATTAAATATTTTTATAAATAATTTCAAAACAAAATTATTTATATATAGGAATAATTATAGTGTTAATTCAAGTATTTTTATATATGGAATAATATATTTGATTTGTAAATTGATTTGAATCAATTATATTACATAGTTATTACTAATTGAATTATATAATTTGATTGAATATTTGTATATTATAATTTGACAATTTAGGATTTTTATTATTATAAAATATTTTTATCATTATCAAATATTTTTAAACTATTTTATTTTTATAAACGGGACTAACTTTACTATTAATTCATATATTTTTATAAATAATCTCAAAACAAAAATAATATTTATTATTTTTATAGAAGGGAAAAATATATTGTTCATTCAAATCCTAATTTATTATTTTTTCAAAACACGGATACTGATATGGTACACACATATGATACTGATATGAAGTTATTGATACAAAATTGAATATTAGCGAGAACATAAAGTTACTGATCAAAATATTAAATATTAACGAGAATATGTAGTTATTGATTAAACTATTGAATATTAACGAAAATATGAAGTTACTAATCAAACTATTGAATATTAACGGAAACATGAAATTACTAATCAAAATATTGAATATTAACGGGAATATTAAATTATTGATCAAAATATTGAATATTAACGACAATATGAAGTTATTGATAAAAATATTGAATAATAACAGAAACATGAATTTATTAATTCAAATATTGAATATTAACGAGAATATGGCGTTATTAATCAAATTATTGAATATTAACGGGAACACGAAGATACTAATTAAAATATTGAATATTAACGGAAACATGAAATTACTGATCCAAATATTGAATATTAAGGAAAACACAAAGTTACTAATAAAAATATTTAATATTAACGGAGACATGAAGTTATCGATCAAAATATTGAATATTAACGAGAATATTAAATTACTGATCAAAATATTAATATTAATAAGAACATGAAGTTACATATCAAATATTAAATATTACGAGAACATAAAGTTACTGATCAAAATATTGAATATTAACGAAAGATAAAATTATTTAATTTAAATATTGAATATTAACAGAAACCATGAAGTTATGATCAAACTATTGAATAGTAACGGTCACATAAAGTTACTGATCAAAATATTGAATAATAATAGAACTTTATTATTAGTTTAAATATTTTCGACAATAATTTTAAAACAAAAATAATATATATATATATATATATATATATATATAATATATATATTATATATATATATATATATATATATATATATTATATATATATATATATATATATATATATATATATATATATATCTATATATATATATATATATATATATATTAGTTAAACTAATTTTATATATTCAAAAAATTATAGACATTAATTTATTATGTTTTTTCAAAAAATATTATTTATATTATATTATAGAAATAAATGCGCGTATCATATTAGTACTTGTACGAACGCACATGTGTCCTATTGATTTAAAAAAAACATTAATCATAAATATAATCATATCACCCACTTTTATGTTGAAAATCATTATAGGCAAGTATAACAAA